GGGCTTATGTCAGGCGACACACTTAGATATTCCGTCCTTCTTCAGGTTCTCAACGTCCTTCGATTCCAAGTAGGCGAGAGTTTTCCCAACGCCCTTCGATTCCATGTGCTGGCACCCAATCCTGTAGCAGTACGAAGTTTCCAAGATGGTACAGGACGACATGAAGGCAGGATATTCTCCTCGAGTTGCTCGATGTAACAGCGTTCACTTTCAGTCCGGGTCCACGAAGAAAATATCGGTCTTCACATTCCAGGAACTTCCGGTCCATACCATCATTCCGTGCCTCGGCAAGTGCAGGAAGGGTAATATCGGATCATAGCGTCCTTGTCGGAGGTGCTCGATGTTGGAGGTCTTCCAGATTAAAGCGCCGGTCCCCAGGTAGCTGTCCATTTGAGAAGTTTTGCAGCTGTTTGGAGGTGACGTGAATTCCATAGGCCTTCTCAGTTCGGCTGCGATTGGAGATGGCTTCATATTTTGGTGTACATGAAGGTGATGGACGAGAGCCTGCTCCTGCTTATCGAGGAACATCTTGGGTATCTTCCGCCCTGGTACTCGTATCCACGTCTTCTGTCTGGGCTGCGAAAACTTTGCTGATATGTGACTCGACCAAAGTGTTTTTTTGCCTCCCCCCTCCCTCCTGTGTACCGCGCTCCAGGGCGAGACTCGAAGGGCAAGGTTTCGCTAACGTTGCCCAGTTTTGTTCACTGAAACTGATATCTCCTGGAAATATGACCCCTCTTCCAAGTGTGGTCATATACGACTCCTACGTCGTGACCCTGTATCCCAGTGAGCACATGAATTGATACTTCTCTAAGCACGCAACATGAAGGAAGCCGCGCAAAATGCCGACCTATGCATTTCCCACAGAAAACCAAAGGACAACTATTTTATGTCAAAGGCGAGATTGCAATTTTTGTAAACCTGCAGAAAATTCCACAACACAACAAGATTCATAACAGGAAAGAGTAACAAAAGAAATATAACAAGCTGGTTGAAATTACAACCAATTTAACACAATATACAGTTGCTCTGATCCCACCGTTTGCAGTAATCTAGCGAGTATCTACAGGCGGATAAATATAGCAGTATAAATGCTCTCTCTGATTGGATTAATACGTCGCAAGCCTTCAAAGCTTACAAACTCGAGGGTTACAGCATAAAGTAGCGTTTCTACAATATATATCGCCAACAAGGAAATGCCAATGAGTGTGACATTTTGGAGTATGCCACCAATTGATATAGAGGTAACAATAATTATGTGGAATCATCGAACCCTAGGTCCTTTGCGTATTGCCTTCCCACCACCTTTCTTTC